ATTCTTACATTATTAAATGGGCATAAGATAGTTCAGTTATATTAACTCTTTTGGTGTAAAGCGACAACGTTGGCAATGCTCGTTCGGCGGTGTGTACATTCTGCTACTGAAACCAACGCAGTAGATGTGCGTGTAGCAACTGTATTTGCAGCATCCTGGGTACCGACATTCTTGTTTGCGAAATTGTCGGCCATGCAACGGAAGTAGTCAAAATGCATGTAATCGTTAACAGCATGAAGGCCTAGGTATTAGATTGAGTGAGATCAATATACACCAGATTAGGAACACAAGAAAAAATAACACGATAAAGAAGCTAACTAGTTTGCATTTGAACGATCGGTTTGACAGACCGATTCTGTGGTTGTTTTTGATGCTGATGTTTCTGGACGGGTGAAGGAGGCGGTTGTGGCTCGACCAAATCACCACCAACACCAACGGAACCTGACGCCACGTTGAAAACTTCATTCACTACTTCTACACGACCTTCATCATCAAAGCCGCCCACCGTTTTTTCATCCTCGTCAAACATTTCCTCGTCCCCGGGATAATCATCTTCCCAAAGATTCGTGGCCGCAACAGCACTGGCATGAAAGGGTGACTCATTGGTCCACAGTTGTTGTCGACTGGTCGAATCCGTGATTGGAGAGGCAAATCCAATCAGAGAACTGGCAATCTTCGAGGACTGTGTGCAACCACCCCAAACATCAATCTGCAAACAAGCGCAATACCAATGTAATCGGCTTCTTAAGAGATTCGGAAGTCTCTGATGTAAGCTCCTGCAATCTACCCAATTACGGCTCACGGAGGCGCTGAAAATGTTACGTTTGAAGGAACATTGCTAAAGGCAGCAGCAACATTTGTCATTAGTATATGTCCACCAAATGTAGCACTTTTCGTGAGACGCAACGCAGTGAAACTGACAAGCTCACCATCAAGAACAAAAATGGTGCTAATTCAGTGGGCTTCAATAGGACGTCTTACAGAAAGTTGTTAAGAACTGACAAATGAAGGAATTTTCAAACAGATAGTGATGAAACCAGCTCTAACTAATGGCAACGATGCAGTGATTTCGTAAAAAATGAATTTCCCCAACCCTAGTTATTAGAACATGACTTGTATTTACTTCCTGCAATCACACTGGGTGGATCTTAAGCCAGAAGTAAACAAAGTATAAACAAGAATCAATAAAAACAGTGACAGTGGAAATGCAGGCAGTTTATAGAATGAGAAATTGAATTATCGATTATGTGGTGCCAAATTACAAAACCTCGCGA